GTGAGAACTCTTGCGATCGTTTGGTGGCCGACTCGACGGCGTCCATAACCACGGCATCGAAGCCTCCTTTGGCCAACGCGTGTAAGCCATGGATAGTCGTACCTCCCGGTGACGCCACGTCATCTCTCAGCGCTATCGGGTTTTGACCAGTTTTTTGTACCATTAGAGCGGCGCCCTGTGTGTGGCCGGTGGGGGTCAAGAGGTTTACAAATAATTAATGAATAAAATAACTAATATTTAGTGAGTTATATGCCATGACTTACGAGCACTGTTTGCGCGGCTATATTGTTGGCCACAGTGCGGGGTAAACCCATTTTGAGACCCCCGTCAGCCATGGCGTGTATAAGCGTATAGACCTGTGACGGGTGTATCAATGAGGGGGAGAGGAAAGGGATGATTAGATTGACGGCACATGAAAATGAGATGAACTATACGTACGAAAGCGATGCCACTGCCACTTAACCCGCACACGGCGTCCATTTGTTTCTCATCGACAAACTCGCAGACACCTAACGGAGTCAACAGCACCGACAGGAACGCCTTCAGCCGTTGACTATAGTCTCGGGCACCGGTGGTCACGTAACTGACACCACAGACTCCGGCGTTCACCGCACAGGCAGTGTTGGGCATAATGCGGGCCACAAATACCGACCCTTTGTCTGGATTACGCGTACAGTCAGCCGGGTCTACCTCAAGGCGCCGTACGATCGTCTCGAGGTTTATGCCGGCCATCACAGACACCACTAAAACTGCCGGTTCTTTGGCGTAGGCGTTCATGTCGAGCACCGGCTGTTTGAATACAAGGGGTTTGACGCACAGGAAGATAATCTTCAACGTCTTGTGTCTCATCGGTGCCGATAAGTGGCTGAAGAGGTCGTTGTTATTGTTGGTCACGTGACAGCCCAGCGCCTAATCACCACAGAAGGGAACAGTTATGATAAGTCTTAGGGGACACCACCGATGCCCTCATACCTCAAACTTCTTGAGATTGCGATTGGAGGGCGCGCTGGCACTCAATTGGCTGGCCTTCACAGCGCCTGTAGTTTTATTTGCGGTGATAATGGGATCAAGTGATCAGATTTAGTGAAAAAAAACTTTCGACGGACCGAAAACCTACCGGAGCTGACGAACCCGGAGGCCATAGCGTAGGCCATAGTGCCGGCCCCCACGAACCCGATGTGACACTCGTTGATAGCCGGGTAATTCATGTCTGGATCCGTTTCAGTGATAGTTTTCAAAGACTTTTAATTAAATTATAGTTATCTCTCGTATGAAAGTCATGTGTTTATCAGTGGTTTGTAAACATTATGTGAATATTTTTGTAGACGTTTTAGCCTTAGGTTTAAGCGCTAGGGGTATGGAGTAAATGAACAAAATTTTCTAATATGTTGTACACCCTATGAATGTGTACTTTGAATAGATACTATAAAATAGTACCAAAAATTGCGTGCAATATGCCTGTATAATTAACTTTTATATAGTATATAATGTTAAATATTTAATTAATTTTCCAAAAAGTGATCTAGGGGTACCGATAACAACAATTATACCAGGATATTTTTATTATTTCATTTTTTCTAAGCTTATGTTTATAAAATATTTTAAAATTGTAACTAGGTCTACTACCGTGTAATAGTAATTGTACGACATATAACGACAATATTTATCATGATTATTACTTGTACCAAGAACATTTA